TACATACCCTGTATTTATATAGTATATTTCAGTAATAGCTTCTAGCAGGATTTTTTAAAATTTCTTTTATTTTGTGGATCACTTCTTAACAGTTTTTATGAGATGCTCACAAACAGGCTGCTGAGGGTAATGCAAAGTGGGTTATTTCATTAGGAGGATGGAGCAGGTATGCAGTTTTGAAGGTAGTGACAAGAGGCTTTAGCAGAGGGAAAGCCAGTGCAACCATTAAAGGACTAATGAGACTAAATTAATGAGGAGGTGAGTTAGTGGCTACATTTTATGTGACCTGAAGGGACTGTTGTTTTGTGATCATGAGAGTTAAATCATGGAGCAGGAAGAGAAAGCAGTATTAAAAATGGTTAAAAGGAAGGCCTGATCCAAAGCGGTTTGAAATACCCATTGGTTTCAGTTGATGGTTCCTTTGGGTCCAGAGGTGTCACACACGGCGAGGCATGAGGAGGGGAAGCCCTGGACATGGAACAGGGAAAGAAGCAGCTGGGTCTGGAAAAACATGGTGCACCAACAGTGGAGCCAAAGGAGAGCAGGGGCTTGAAAAGGCCCGGAAAGCAGCTCTCACCCAAACTGTGGGGACAGGCAGGCTCTTTAGGGATCCTTGGCAGATCATTTTGACACGTTAACCATCACTTGAGCTCAGAGTACACACACAAAGCTCGCTCAGGCCTTGGCAACGGTGGTGTCCCTGCTGCGGGGATGAGGGCCCAGCAGCACCCCCTGCCCGCAGCCCCCCTGCCACGGGCTGCACCCATGTGCTCTCACACGTACCCGTTCCACCACGTGCCTCATCCTGATGGGCCTGGGCGCCCGCGACCCCTTTAAAGGGCGAGTGGGGCCGTGACCAGCCTGCCCACAGGTAATGGCCGCCTGCCCCGCAAGGCGGGGGCTGGGAGGGGGAGCGCCCGTCACAGCAACAAGAACAAGGGAGGGAACTGGGAGTAGGTTTGGCCAGGGGGGTAGGCGCACGGTGCGGCGCCTGTGGCAGCTGCCAGCGCAGGGTGAGGTGGCAGGTGGAAAGTGTGGGCTGAACAAGGGTGTCCTCGGGTGACAGCTGAAGCCTTGGATGAGGCTGTTCTGAGAAAGGGCGTGAGGGATAACGCGGTTAACAGATCTTCTGCTGACGCCCAGACCTTTTACAGTTTCTGTCTATTGCCTGGAGCTCATCTGACATGGTTAGAGTGCTGCCTCTCCTGTTTCAGGGCCAGGGTTTTGGCTGGAGCTGTTGAAGGGTTGCCAGCCCTCCACTCAAAGCAGCAGGGACAGAGTTGTTACAATGTAAATGGTAGCATGCCACCAGAATCAATACAAATTGAACCTCTGCCGGCAAGACTGCACAGTGCTTGCTTTCTTGTGTAGCGGAATCAATACGAATTGGCCACGGGATGGGAATATACAGATGCAGTTGGGGAGAGAAAAAGTAGATGGAAAGCTAAGGTGAACAGAGGTCTCTAGGTCCAGGCTGTGATTTTAGGCTCGGTCATTAACAAAAAGTTTTGTGAAAGCTATAATTCACCTGCCCCTTGAGTCACCCTTGTGGACATAATGGCCCAGCAACACAATGCTTCCAAGGTTTATTTTTCTTTGTTCATCTAAGTATTACTTTATTGTAACGGCTTAAATGTTGATACGGGTCCCAGCATATCCCTGCCCCTTTCATCCACTTTCCACCAGGGATGGACAAAAGCAGAGTACATCAGCCCTTCTCTTGTTATTGCTTTTCCCCCCTTCCCACGCAGGGTCTTACTCCTTCATATAAGCATGCCATCCAAGCCGTGATCGGCCTGCCGGTGCAATGTTGCTATCTCAAGGATTTCCCATTTAGGCTAGCGAACTCTGACTGGGTTTCCTAGTGTAGCAGATTTAATAAAAGAATGATTCTGGAGTTGTATAATGCCTGTATCCCAAATGACGCTGTTTCTAATTAGCTGTTGATATTGGCATGAGAAAGAAGAACAGCGATGACTTGAGAGCTAAATTTTACACTAAAGTGCCTTTGAAAAGTTGTCATCTCAATGAGGTGTGATAAGGGATGGTGGTGAAAGGAGGCTGGGGTACAAGTACTCTTTATTGTAAGGGTCGTCTGGGACCTCCGCCTTCCTCATGCATTTTTCTGCATCTGTCTGAAATATACCCACTGTGTGTTGATGTTTATTATTTTTTATTTAAAAACAGCATTTAGAAACTTTCTCTTTTAGCTCAGATCTTGGCTTTATAAATTATTCCACCCATATTAAGGACTGAATTCTCTTGGGAATTGATGATTTCTTGCCTTAAGGAAAGGTGAAATTAAGTGATTTCTACCCCTTTTCTTATCCAGATAGCAGTAAGTGAGCTGCTTTTGAGCCTTCAGATGTCTAGTTTACAGTAAATATGCCAAATTGGCCTCTGTTACGTGCTTGCAATACCGTGGACACCCTTGTTAAATAGCGATTATCTGACTTGACACTGTTTCAACATAATCTGTGAACTGAGCTGTACCCAGTTTTTCGTTTTACCATTTAATATAGAGCTTTGTGCATAGGCATTTCTGTATATTGACAGGGGACACAGAAAATATTTGAATCACCTTTAGGTTTCCATTGCCAAACCAGTCTAGTTGCCATACAGACAAGGAGGAAGATTGGAGGCAGAACTGTTTGGTGCCATAGGAAAATAAATGGTGTATTGGAAACTCAAACTGAGAACAGATCTGCTTGCATGGGACCATATTTATGTCCTAGGAAAGGAGGGCTCCTTTCTGGGGATGGAGTTTATACCATGCAGGAAAGGGAGGGAGTAAGAGTAGAAGAGTGAGCTCTATCGTGGCTATGAAGTATCTCTGCTCTTAGAGGTAGGGAAATTAAAAAGTGGAAAAGTTGTAAGTCATCCGAAGTTGTTGAACCAGATGGCGCAGGAGTTATTACCCTTGTGTTTTGTGCTCAAGTTCTTTCTCTCTAAAGCTTGCACCAGGTATGCCCAGTGTATTTATAGTTTGCAGAGGAAATGAAGGGAAATAATTAGACTCTAGCTTTGCAGTTTCTAAATCGACAGAATTAGAGGGTGGTTTGCAAGGGTGAACTGCTCAGGCTATGTGCAAAACCAGCTCATTTTACTTTTACTGATTTGTTCTTTAATTAATTGGTGCCTATGTCTCTTGATTTGTGCTGAGACTGGCAAGACGCTTCATGCGAGAAACGTGTTTTCATCTTCATTAATTCTCTGCTGGGGCAAGCCTTTTAAAAAATATTAGCCAGCCATCTTCTCACTTAGTTCCAGGAGCTTACAGTCAGAATCGAAAGGCAGACAGAGGATGAGAAGGAAGGCAGAGACAGGCTGTCCCATTTTACGGATAAGGAAGTGGCACATATGGAGATGAAGTGAGTTACTCGCACAGGGAATTTAGGGCAAAAATGGTAAATGAGTCTTGCTGTCCTGACTGTTAATACTGTAAGGTTGAACACAGGTTCAGTCAGATTTTTCCTTTCTGAAAAAGTTGCGTGTGGCAGATTTTCAACTCTTTACTGCCTGTGAGAGTAGCCAGATTTTAGGGCAGTGCTCCCCCGTGTACGGAGTATGATGCCAGTCAGTGAGTTACCTGACGGGGGGGAGACAGGCTGCTAGAGAAGCGAAGGCGCTGGCCATACGTTTTGCTGAGTGATGATTCCGTGGGACCGAGTGAATTAGGAAAACCCTGGTGATGGATCTGCAGCGGAACAAACAAGCCCTCCGGCAAGGGAACGCGGCCTGTTCTGACCCCGCTCCCCCCGAGCATTCCGAACGCTTATGCGTAAGACATTTTTACAACAGTTACTTATCCCCCTTTATTCCGGCAGCCCTTGTAGAGCCCAGGCGCGATCTCCCTGCGGTGACTCGGTGCTGAGAGTTTCGGAGCGGGGCGGCGGGACCGCGGGCGGGCAGCGCCGGGCGGCCCCGAAAGC